CATTAGACCATATTGTATGGGCTTCCCCTGTTTCTAATTTGTGTTTGTTCATTCCTTCAGATTATACAATCCCAGTTATCCATAGAGATGTTGCTATATATTGAGCCATCACTTTGGGATCAGCTGTGCCTTTGATGACAGAAATTGCTCTCTCATTTTGCAAATTGCAATCCAATACACATCTTGAAGAAGTTCTCTGCCTTGTTGATCAACATCTGCGAGGATGGTGCAAAATGACTTAAAATAGTGTGCCAGTGTGATTTTCAGGGTTGTGTATTGCATGCCAGACATAATCTTTTGTTGCTTTTTTAAGGAGGTGATAACCATCTTCTTGACTGGGCTTTAAGCTCGCAAAAATCTTGATCGTTGATATTCATAGGCGATCTCACTCTTATGGCATACCTGCTTAAACTGGAGGTCTTCAGAGCATTCATTTTATACACAGATAGCCTTTTGATCCATGGAAAATTTCTCCTAAACAGGATTTTAGCACTTTGTTATCGGAATCATCTGAATGGAAGACAAGAGCTTATGTTTATACGCGTGAATATCCAAAAACATTGATTTCGCAATCTAGAAGTGACAGTTTGAACATCTATATGCTACAACTTCTTTATCTTTCTGTGCTCCCACTCAGATACTTAATGCTTTTATAATGATCTTGTATCTGCTTCCGGTACTTCTCAAAGCCGCTGATCTGTATGTGCTGCTGCTGCCACAAATTTGGATAATCTTTCTCTAACAAGTATTGTGCTTGGCAAATTAAATGGCCTATGAAGTGATTCCTTCGTTATGTGATACCAATATTACAGGCAAACGTAGCTCATTCTAAAACATCAAAAAGGCACCATTTTTTTCGTTCGTAGGAAGGAAAGATGGTTGGCATCTTCCTTGACAGGGACGGGAACAGCCTTCGGGCTTACCTGTTACCAACACATCCGGTTAAGGCTTCCCACTTTGGTGGGTCTTCTAACCCAATTTTTTTAAAAGAAGAAAAAACGAAATCCTAAACTTTCAGAATCAGCATTCTAAGGGAGATTTTGGGTCCATTGATTTATTACCACAACCTTTATCTATGAAGCTAAAAAGGCAGTCGAAGATCTCTTCATTTGTCTCATACTTAGATTCAGAGAATTATTCAATATAATTTTAATTGGAATTAAATAATGAAATTTTTACCAAGTTTAATCGACAAGAGAGATAGAATCTGAGAAAGGACCGGAAAAATATAACGGAAAAAGAATCTATTTTACTTAAATCCTTTCTTACCACTATTTTAAAGGCTAATCATAGACATATATTAAAAGCATATACACCTTAGACATTTTTAGAATAGGGTCTTCAAAATTAATTGAACATAACGATACTATTAGATTAAAACGAGCGGCTAAAATAATCATTATAATCTATCAGTATTGTTAAAAGCGGCTAACACGGACTGCAGCTCTATTGCACTAGCCCAAAGATTTTTTCTAGTAACCATGCAAGTCGTTGAGTCTGTGAATTAGAGTTTCCTCCGAGTGACTAAAAAAAAATATTGATTAAGCCGCTGTAATCATCTCTTGAAGGTCCTAAAACACAAGTATTTCTCTGTTGTTACTTGGTGATTCAGTGGCTTTTAGCTCGAATCATCATTTTGGATTGTACAGTTGAATGGGAACCCTCTTTTGTCCACTTTTACCATTCAACATAGCCGTCGCACTTCGCAACCGTTTTTCTTACTTTAACCACTTTTCCACCTCCATATCTTTGTCTCCAAGTTCTCAGCAATTGATCCACGTTAAATCCGACAATGAGATTGCTTTCTGTATCTCTTCCGCCTTGCAAAAGTGCACCAGTCTCGGTTCTCTCAAGAAAATCCATGCAAAGATCTTTGCCTTTGGCCTGCAAGATGACGCACATTTATCAACAAAATCATCCCTTTTGTACATCTCATTCAATAGCGTTGATGATGCAAATGTTTTATTCGAATCTATACCACATCCGAGTTGTTACCTGTGGAATATTATAATAAAGGGTTATGCCACTGAAGGCCAATTTGGCCGAGCATTAGGATCATATGTCAATATGATGGAAAAGGGTCTAACACCAGACAAGTACACTTTCCCTTTTGCTCTCAAATCTTGCGCTAGATTAGCAGATTTGCAAATTGGAAAGTTAGTTCACCAGCATTCGGTGTGTTGTGGATGTGGCAGTGATGTTTTTGTTGAGGCTGCCTTGGTTGATATGTATGTAAAGTGCGGTGACATAAATTCTGCTCGGTTGATGTTTGATAAAATGGAAAAGAGAGATTTGGTATGTTGGACTTCTATGATTTCTGGTTATGCACACAACGGTTATAACGACGAGACTATGGAGTTCTTTGATATGATGCGTGGTTCAGGTATTAAAGCCAATAGGGTAGGTATATTGAGCGTACTTTTAGCTAGTGGTAATTTGGGAGCTTTGAGAAAAGGAGAAGAGTTCCATACTTATGTTGTCAAAACTGGGTTCGAGTCTGATATCTTGGTTGCAACTGCTGTAATGGATATGTATGCAAAGTGTGGGAATATAGGTTTGTCGCGAAGATTGTTTGATGCAACCGAAGGAAAAGATGTAGTTTGTTGGAGCGCGATGATTGCTTGTTATGGAATCCATGGCCATGGGCAGAAGGCGATTAATCTTTTTAACGAAATGATTAAAGAAGGCTTGAGGCCTAACCATGTAACATTCACTTGTGTTCTCTCAGCTTGTAGCCATTCGGGGTTACTTGAAGAAGGGAAGAAGTATTTTCAATTGATGAGAAGAGAGTTGCGGATTGCACCAAAACTAAGTAATTATGCATGTATGGTGGATCTTCTTGGTCGTGCAGGAGAACTTTCTGAAGCAGAAGAGCTCATAGAATCTATGCCAGTGAGACCTGATACAAGTATATGGGGGTCTTTGCTCGGAGCATGCCGAGTTCATAGTAATCTAGATTTAGCTGAAAGAATTGCAGATCATATTTTTCAGCTGGACCCCTTTCATGCTGGCTATCATGTCCTACTCTCCAACATTTATGCTGCCAAATCTAGGTGGAATGATGTCGAGAAGGTTAGGATGATGATGACTAGAAGAGGTGCCAATAAAGTTCAGGGAATCAGTTTGATAGAGCTAAACAATCTGGTTCACAAATTCGGAGTTGGCGATAGATCACATCCTCAATCAGAGAAGATTTATGCTCTCCTTGAGGAGTTGGCGGGTCCAATGAAACGCCTGGGTTATGTCCCCTTGACAGATTTTGTTCTTCATGACATTGAAGATGAGGCAAAAGAAGTGGCACTTTCCTACCATAGTGAGAGGCTGGCAATTGCATTTGGTCTCATCAATACTAGTCCAGGGACTACTCTTCGAATTACAAAGAATCTAAGGATCTGTGGAGACTGTCATAATGCGATTAAGTTCATCTCAAGGATTGTGAATCGAGTCATCATTGTCAGGGACATGCACCGGTTTCACCATTTTGAAAATGGAGTTTGTTCTTGTGGTGACTACTGGTAAGAGATTATGTGCTTTTTGACAGTTGAAGAGACAAAGATGGTTGTTCATGTAGCTTTGGGTTTCATCCCTGCTCCTCGGCGGCCTTGGGAACAATAAATCCTTATGCAAGAAAAGAAAATTAAAGCCACAACCTAATGGGAATTCTGATCAAGATACAGAAGCATCTTGAGTAAAGATTTTATGGCCGCCGGATAGTGGCAAAGCAAAAGCAGAGAAGTAATAACCATGAGTGGATAATTACTGGAATTCATGATTTTTTTTTTTGCCAAACTTCCTGCTAAATTTGCAAAGTTAAGCAGCCTGCTACTTAGACCTGCTGCCATATCATTCCATCAATTTTTTTGTCTGGCACTGTTAGTTCTCTCCTTCAACCGATCTAGTTGATTGAGAAGGCAATGGCGTTGCTTGTGAACGTTGTTTCTTCATCAGAGGTTGTGCTTAAGGAGACTGCTGGTGCGGGTGGTGCAATTCAATTAATAGTAGAGGCCGTGGAGGAAGGTCTGCCACAAAGCAAAGAGCACGCAGTGCGAGTTCTACTTCTGATATGCTGAAACGCAGACATAAACAAAACAAAAGGGGGAGGGATTTTGAGGAACTAGCCACACCAGGGCTGATTCAGTTGAGCGTTGAAGGGACGGGTAAGTCAAAGCAGAAGGCCAAAGCTCTGCTGCTGCTTCTAAGGGATTGCTCAGGTAAGGCGAAGGAGAAGCCCTCTCAAAATTGCCTGGTAATATGAAATCTTTATGCATGATTTTCAAACAACTTTTAATTACCAATACGTGGTCATTATGTTAAGTAGCCGGCTGAATAATACCTATAACGCCTTTCCAGCAAATGTTTAGACAACATGTAACATCATCCTCACATTCTAAGATGTATGTAAGCCTATCATTCTCCTTCAGACAAAGTGCTTAGTTCAAAGGATTATTTATCGATGTTATTATAACCCTCCACAAAAACCAAGGGAATATAACACCCAAAAGCAAACAGAATGCAGTGGACTACGGACTACATTTCACTTGGACCTTCTATAAAAGCTATAAGCCACCGCAACAGTAGCCACGGCTCCAACCACAGCAGCAGCTGTAAGAACTTCACGTTGCTCCCATTTTCCTACCCAGGTCGTGAGTCTTACCGGCCCATTCTTTCCCTGTTTTTCTTCCAAACTTTCATCTCTGCAACATGAGAATCCAGTACCACCTTGGCAACAGTTTGCCACACTTTCCCTTTTCTCCTCACTGCCATTTTCTTGAGGTGTCTCGCTATGCTCCAGAGCTTCTCCATTTGGAAGCTTATGTTCATCCAACTTGTCAGCTTCCTCAGCACGTCCACCCATTTGGCCCCTGCAATTGCAAACCACATGTTCTTATTACATTGCAACAATGCCAAAGAAGTGGAAGGAACATTTCTATTTTCTAGAAATCAGACAGGAAAGATACATGTTGTGCTTCTATTTGAACCCAAGATGATGAGTAATTAACATGCCATCATGAGGGTGATCCATCATGCAACGAGAAACTCTCCAAGAAACATGTGGAATTGCATGTTACAGGAGAATAAATGAAAGAAATCACCATTTCACTGATTATGATACAAACATTTAAAGGAGAGGCACATGCTAGTTACTGGCTGGATGACTTTCAAATGAAAGCAGACTAAATAATGCAGGGCAATGTTTAGAACCTTTTTAAATAAAAAACAAACAAAAGAAAAAGAGAAGAAATAGCAACTTATGCCCAAGCTGGCTTCATAAAGAATCCAAGTGAAGGATAATTCAACAAGTTTCAGATAGGATGGGAATGGCATGGTAACCCACTTCAAAGGTCCCCACTTTGGTATTTCACATTGATACATCTCACAGTACAATTAACAGTTTGTTACTCCAACAATCCACAATCACAACATGCATGGGTTGTTGCAGATTTCAAATGATGCTTGTAGGCCTAGCAGATAAAACAAAGGGACTTCTAAGTCCCAAGTGAAACAATTCCAATTTCAACTGAACGACACCATATTACAATATATAATTTCCGTTCCAATGCAAGTTGCAACCCTAAATTTTGATTGCACAACTTGATAGCTAGCCCTTATTTATTTGGTTAGAATATCTGCAAAAAATGCGTGTCCACTCAAATGGCAAGCCACAACAATTTTTATTTATTGTATAATCTAATTCATTTAATGCTAACCTATTCAAGTATCACAAGAGCTTTCAACAACTAGTTTCACTAAAAAGAGTCAGAATAGCATGAAATTACAAACCTCCAAAGTCGTTCAATGACCTCTCCCTTCCCAATATGCTGATCAAGCAAATCTGGTACATCATCCGGGGTGACATAACCATACCTGCATCTCAAGAACAAAAAACCACCAACAACTGTCAACACCATCCAAATGACCACATAAAATCTTATTCTTTCTTCAGAATCCCAAGAAACAAAGCCCGGAATCATAATTACCAATGCCCAGAAATTTTCCCTTCTGAGTCTGGACTGAAAATTATCACATTCCCTGCATACTTGTGACCCCCAACATGAGAGCAAGCAGTCACAAACACCTCATCCTCCAGTCCCTTTAATTCCATCTCCTCTTTAAACTTCTCAATTAGAACAGGTCCACAAACACCACATCGTCGGTCTCGCTTATTGTGAGCACACACAAAAACATGTGAACCAATCAACACCTCCTGCACTCCAGAAGCCCACGGTTTGCCATTCACAAGCACATCATCAACAAATCCATCCACATCGGACTCCTTCAGACCCCTTAAATCAGGAAGAAAATAATTGCTTAATCTCAGAAAGGAGAATGTAGGACTGAAATACTTGTAGTAAGGAAATTAGAGATCCGGTAAAAACAAGTTTCAGTAAGTAAAACCCTGAATCATGATGAAATTCAATTGTACAGTATTTGACAATTTTTGTTACAACCAACGCTATCTCATAGTCATCAAAGAAACTTTTAAGGAATTTTAATCTTAAAATCATCAGTGTCCATCACTTCATGATTGATACATATTACGAAAATCAGTGGATCTCAAAATCAATAGAGAAATCAGAACGAAACCATAGCTAAATAATAAAATTCACTTGGACCTCAACAATTATATTGAAATCAGCATAATCGTGACCACGGCAATAATGACCACTCATAATTGTAAACACTTAATAGACTAGAACAAAAAAGCCAAACAAATCTACGTAATTTACCTGTATTTGATCATTTCAGGGAAAATCAATACATCTCCATCCGATAATCCGCTCCCATCACGTCCCTCACATATCGTCAAACGAGTCTATCAAATTAAATCACCGAGCAAAAACTCATCAGATCCAAAAGGACCAAAACAACTGGAAAATCATCAAATAACCCCCTCTCTGTGTACATCTATATAATATTACAACTAGACAGTTGAATTCTCAATTTACAAAAACACAATATTAATAACGGTCTTGATTCAATTTCCATCTACTTCTATATAATATAAATATATTATATTGAGTTTATGCATAGAAAAACTTGATGTAGGCAAGTCTGTGCTCGAGATAAGACGATTTCATACTAATACTAGTCTCTCTCTCTTGTACACGCACACAACTTGAATGATTTAAACATGTAGAAGCATTTCAGAATCAGAACTTCCATTTACGATAACGAGACTAACCTTGACGTTGATGTCGTTCTTGCGAGATTTAAGAGCATCAGAGAGAAGCTTGGGAAGGAGATCGGTATCAGAGTTTTCGACACGAGGAGGCCAAGAATCGTAAGACTTGTAGGAGAGGAACACGTGGCGGTCGTAGGGATCAACAGTGCCGGCGAGGTTGCTACTGTACATTTCGGATCTCTGGAACCCGAACTTGACTTCATCGGCGACGACATCAGAGGTGGCGTCGGATGAGAAGTTCTCTGAGGCCATGGTTGAAGCTAGGGTTCGGAGAGAGGATTGAGAGAGAGGATTTAGAGAGAAGAAGGTGAAGGTGAAGGTGGAGAGATAACGTTGGGCTACAGAGAATAGAGGACGGCTTGGGTGCGGAATGCGCATCTGCTTGTTCGTGTGGGGGTACTTAAGGGAATGGGTATACGATTGGGAAAGGCAGGCTGAGACTGGCCTTGGCTTGGGCAGAAAGTTCATGCGGCTTGATGGCGCATGAAGACACGTGGAGTTCATTAGAGGAAGATACGACTTACGAGTGTGGTACTCTCTCGTTGGCGTAGTAAGATAAAAGGTGCTCTTTGGTAAGTATCACTATTTTTGGATTGAATTAGATTAAATAGACTAATTTAAACTCATTTAATTAAATTTAAGTGTGAAATAAATATTTGAAATTTTTGTAAAAAAAGCCAGAATTAAAAAAAAAATATTCAAACCGTTTGAAGTGTTATTGAAAAATCTGATTTTTCCTTATTGTTGCACAAAGAAGCGCTTAGATAAGCTCGATTTATCATATTTTCCTTGGTCTTAGTATATAAATTGTTCTGATCCAATAAATTGATGGGAAAATCATTTAATAAGCTCGAGTCCAAGCATACGAGATATTTTTTTCCTCTAAATTCAATAAAAAACTCTAAAAATTGTTGAATTAAAATAAAAAAAATTCAAGTTCTATGCTGTGATATAAATTAAGTGTCTTTTATTGCAATGCTGATATCATTGTCTTTCAACTTTAATATCTTTTGTCCAACTCAATTTTAAATGTAAGGACATATTAACAATTTTAATTCAATGTAAGAACATTTGTATCTAATAGCATAAATTTTGATAATTTTATTTAAGGAAAATGTTATTTTTACTTAAAAATTTGATATAATTTATTGACTTGATGAACCACAACTATTGAATAGGTAATAAGTCTTAATAAATATTGAGACTCACTGCTAAATTAATGACGATAATTAATTAATTAATTCAATTTTTTAAATTTGTATAACATTGTTCTTTATTTAAAATTAAATAAATGCAATAAAATCCAGTATTCATATTGGACTGAGAATAACTTAATTTCTTTTATCCACTTATTTACAAATTAACTAAACATGGGCTAAGTGAGACGTTGGACTATACTTGTTCTAATCCCACTCCCACCCATTAGTCTGCCATTTTCCGTGACCCCAATCAAAGTGTGGTCTCTTTGAAACGGGTCCTGTTGTGATCAACGGCTGAGATCAGACTGAAAGCGTACATCAATTTATTGCATTACGATTCATAGTCGTAGCCGATTATATTATTTTCCGCTGGCATTGCGCCATGGCTCTCGGATCACTTTTCGTGTACGCTACAATGAAGTATTTGATTATCTCTAAATTGAATCGTAGTACAAGTACGTTTGTCTAAATTTATTTAAGGAGAATTATAAGTTTATTACTTAATTACTCAAATTTTTAACATTTGAAATATTATATACAAATCTCTAAGATTTGTACGCGTAACCCTTGTCATCAAATGCCCGTTAATATATACGTTAATAAATTACACCTAGATATCCTGAAATTTGAAGTGTATATTATTTAGATCACTCAAATTTAAAATATTATATTTAAATAAAATAAATACTCTAATCAAATATAGAATATCAAATATTTTAAATTTTAAATTTTAAAATTAAAATTCATGTTCTATTGTATCATTTATTGAAATAAAATTAAAAATTAAAAATTATTTTTTTCTTAAAAAATTGTAATTAATATACAATTATACTATCTGTTGAAATAAAATTAAAATCAAACAAGGGGTCTAAATTATTCATAATAAAACATAAATTTTATAATCAAAATTCATGTTCTATTATGTCATTTATTGAAATAAAATCAAAAATAAAAATCTAATTTTTCTTCAAAAAATCTTAATTAGTATACAATTGTATTATCTATTATAAAAAAATTAAAAAATTAAACAATGGGTTAAACTATAATAGACATAACATATTCTAACTTTAATTGAGGTAATTTGGTAGTTTAATTGTATATTAATTATAATTTTTTTTAAAAAAATTAGATTTTTATTTTTAATTTATTTCAATAAATGTCATAATAGAACATGAATTTTGGTTATAAAATTTAAAATATTTGATATTTTATCTTTGATTAGAGTATTTTTTTTATCTAAATTTAACATTTTAAACTTGATGGGTCTAAGTATTACACGATTACAAACTTCAGGGAGTCTAGATATAATTTAGTAACGGACATTCACGGCAAATGTCTAATACGCATACAAACTTAAAGAGATTTGTACATCTTATTTTAAATGTCACAAAATTTGAGTGATTAAGTGACAAATACCAAAAAAAAAAAAAAAATTGAGTGCAATTCTCCATTAATTTACGAAAGAGAGATGTGATGCACACCTAAAGATGCGAGCTATTATATTAGTGACCCTTATTATCATCCAATGACTTACATTAATGGACATTCAGGACAAGTCTATTTCGGCACGTGACAATATTTATTATTTTTGTGAATATTTTTATTATTATTATTATGTATATTTTTATCATTATTGTAATAATTATTATTGATAATAAATACCACAATTGTGATAAAAATATATATAAAATTTATATTTTTATTACCGTTGTAATAACTATTATTGATCACAAATATCACAAAAGTGATAGAAAAAATAATTATTATAATAGTGATAAAAATACTCATAAAAATAATAATTTTTTTTTGTAAAATGACTCACAAAAATTATAAAACGCACCCATTAAAATAAAAAAAATTTGTTAGTACGGTATCAAAATCAAATCCTACATTTTTGGTATCACATACCATTTGCCAAGTATTAAATACAAATAATTCAACACAAATAATTTATAATTAGTCTTTATTAAATTATACTCCTAATTGGACCCTTCCCGACCCGCTATACCTTCACTATCCGTCCTTTCAAAGATAGATAGTGATGGGATTGATGCTGTGCCTCGTGGACCGCATGTTTGGTGACTAGAAAACTAGGAGAAAGTCTACGGTACCGTTTTTAGTATTATACCGTTATTTATTATTTTAATAATAAAATTATAACTTAAAAAAAAAATTACAATTATTTAATAAAAATTCGATCGATCACAGATACATATAATCAATCATAAACCTTTCCTAAACATTTTTAACTTCTCTCTTAGGAATTATAATTTGACCTTTAAAAATTGTAACTTTGCTATCAATTCAAATTTATTATGATCGATCATAACTTTTAAAGGTTATAATTTACACTTTAAATAAATTATAATTTAATTATAAAAAATTATAAATTTTGGTACAATACGAAAAACGGTACCTTAGCCTTTCCCGAAAACTTATAGCCATTCAATTAGTTTCCTGCCTCTGCAGCCATTAGTCAACCAGCAGGAGACAGGAGACAGGAGACAGGAGTCAGGAGTGAGGGTGGTGGCATTATCATGTGGTCCTTTGGATAATATGGATGCGACAGTGCTACCCATACTAAATTTTATTTTGAATTTTAATTTTTTTTTTGTTAAAGTAAATGGACGTTTGAATCAAGAGTTGCAGTTAGTTTTTTTCAATAAAACTTAAACTTAGTAATCCAACTATCTACATTAATTTCAAACACAAAATTCAATACATGTTTTAAGCTGCATGTCTAATATGTCAAATAAATAAATCACCACTTCAAAAATAGCTCAAATGATAACATAAACAAATTATAAATCTAAACGTTATGAGTTCAAATCTTAACATTTCTTTAAAGTCAGACCATTAAGAATTTATCTTTCATAAATATCCTAATCTCGACGTGAATGACTTACATTCGATCTAACCGAAGAAGATATTAGTTAAGATACACCTAAACTGACAGACACTCCACCCAGACACCCTTAACTATTGAACCAAAATAAAAAAATAAAGGTCACCAAGAACCCATCATAGACTATTAAAAAAGAATCGGACATGAGTTGGACAAATAGAGATTAGAGGATTGAATGCCTCAATCCGACATTTGGCATTGTTCAGAAATTAGTAGAGAGGCTCAACAAGATAATTTTTTTTTTTTCGGAGAAGGGGGGGGGGGGGGGGGGGGTGGAGCTTCTCAAACACTTGGTGTAAACAATAGACCGGGTTGGATTCACCATGAATGACCAGGTCTCTCTCTTTTAGACACAAGTGGGCATGACAGAATACAGAGGTCTAAAAGCTTCTCGAAACTATTCTATTGACCTTTTAAAAAGGAGTGAGATCCTCGTCAATACACTTTATTTTTAATTCCCTTGGCACATCATACACCATGTATTCAAGTGGGACCATTATATATAAGTGGGTCTCTCCACCATGGATGATATGCCGAGACATGAACTTCCTACTACTGCTTTGAACCATGTTCCAACATAAATCAATAAAAAGGTAGAGTACTTGCAGAAGAAAGAAATTTACAGCAGGAAACTTAGTTCGTCATAGATGTGGCTAATTGTTAGACTGGGAAATTTATACTTTTTAAGTTGGATAGGTGGTGATGGAAGACCAAAAATAAACAAGAAAAATGCCCATCAATCCCATTCCTTGTTCATGTCCACTTGAGTTTCATCAACAATGTTATCATGCCTACTGGTAAAAACGAGCAGTTTTACATGTGCGCGCTAACGGAACAACAAATTGGTGTTCCTTTCCACTGGAAAAGAGGATCATTGAAGCAAATTCAAATAATGGGATGCAGACCAACTCAGGGAAGGGAAAAATCACAAGAATCAAAAGAAATCAATCTCTAAATAGTTACCTGAAGGCTTCACATCGACTCCTGGCACCTTATCTGTCGTGGGTACTCTTGGCACCTCATGCATTATGAATGGTTTTGGCACATCCGGAGGACTGGCACAGCGAATGAGAGCCCAATTCACACTCTGAAAAAATGGATGCTGTTTAATTTCAGTAGCCCCACGTCTATATGCAAGGCGATGCTGTGGCTCTTTCACTAGTAAACCTCTGATCAAGTCCCTTGCAGCAAAACTCACTATAGGTGACTCAGGAAACCTTAAGGGTTGTCCAACTACATTAAACAAAGTGGCCCTGTTTCCTGTCCCTTTGAAAGGAGTCCTCCCAAACAGAAGCTCATAAAGGAAGATCCCAAACGTCCACCAATCTACGGCACTGCCATGACCTTCACCTTTAATAATTTCAGGTGCCAAGTATTCATGCGTTCCCACGAAGGACATTGACCGAGCACTTGTAGGTTCAGCAATGAGCTCAGGGAGATGGCTCACATGATTATATATATCAGTCTTTGGTTTGGCCTTCTTTTCTTTCTTTGCCTTGCTGAAAAAGCGTGGTGCAAAACATGCAGGCTGAATGCAAGCTGGCTGGATTACACAAGATGGCTCAATACAAGCTGGCTGAACACAGAATGCTGTGTTCTTGGATTCCAAGCTAGAATTTGAGGATTTGACTAGGGTTGGGCACACTGCGCATCTTAGGGAGAGGTCAAAATCTGAAAGCATTATATGCCCATCTTCCCTCACTAAAACATTCTCTGGTTTAAGGTCTCTGTAAATGATCCCAAGCATGTGCAAATACTCCAAAGAAAGAAGAACTTCTGCCACATAAAACCTACACAGAAACTCAAGTAAATATGCTGAAATTAGCTAGCTCTTTAATCTAGCGTCCCCATTCTGATTTGAATAAATTGCATGATCGCCATCATCATTAATCAAAAAGGTAGCATAACTCAATGTATTTATACTTGTGAGTCGTTCCTTAGATTGTACGCTGGTCATGTGGCTAGAAAATGTACCAGTCATATATTAGTGTTGGAGTAACCTTTGGCTTTGCTTTACTTGTTCCATACAAAAGGTAATATATTGACTAGCGCTATCTTCTTCAGTTTCAATTGAAAATCAAGTCCCTCCAAGCCTCTATTCTTTTCATATCTAAACTAATCAACTTATCAAATTTTTAAAAAGTAGATTATTTGCCGTTATTAATTTCCTCAATCTCCCACATGCGTTCAATTTAATCTCTTGATTGTCCACCATCAATTTTTAGACCATATAAATAGCAACAACTTTATCACACAATAGACATTCTACATTGGAGCACACTAATTTTTCTTTACATGTGAACAACAAAGGGTTTAAAATTTACACAACAGGAACATTCATATCAGCGGAACGTACCAGTATGGTCAACAAAATCATATTGCACATACATGAGAGTTACAATCTACGAAATCAAATAATAGTACAATGATCTAGCAAGCACAAACGAAAAAGGCAGCAAATAATTGATGCATATTAGGCAACCCTACCTATATTAGAAACCACGGAGGAAAGAATGGAAAAGAATGAAAGAAGGTTCCTAACCTGGCAGCATGCTCTGGAAAATACTTCCCAGGTTGTCTTTGTCGGAGTGCATGGAGATCTCCTCCGGGGCAAAACTCCATCACCAAGCATGAAAACTTCTCAGTCTCAAAGTGTGTATACAAAGTGGGTAAAAAAGGATGATCCAGAGATTGCAAAATCTCTCTTTCGGTCTGAGCCCTCAGAAGTTTCTTCCTACTCTCTAAAGCAGCTTTATCCATGACTTTCATAGCAAAATAACTTCTTGTGCCAGTCAACTCTGATAGATAAACACAACCTATATCTCCACATCCCAATCTCGTCAAAAGCTTAAAGTGGTTCAACCCCAACAGACCATCCCGAGTTCTGATAGCCTGAATTGCTTCCCATCTTGTATCATTTGCCTTGTGAGGTTTGTACATAGCACTGCTTAAACTACAGGAGCTGCTCTCATCACTAATATCACTGCCAGTGCTACCTCTATATGTACTCGTCTTCCTGCTCTCTATTATATCACAGGAGTTGCCAACTTCAACACTTTCAGCAGACTTCTCGACACTGCTTGCACCCTCGCTGACTTCAGTGTTGGTGAAACTTTGTTTAGCTTCTGTGTACTGTGTAGCAGAGTAGAAACTATTTTGAGGACTTGGACAAAAACTGATTCCTGATTGAGAGGAAAATCGGCTGTTCAAAACCTCAGCAGTTCCTTTAGCTGGGTGTGTAACAAGATCCACAGATTCCAACAAACTGCTTGAACTACTATTCTCAGAATCATAAACTGGATGCTTAAGATATGATTTGATTTCCAATGTAGAAACCTGCTTGTGGGAAGAATATTGTGCCATTTGATCAAGAACATCATCGGGGCTCATCAATTCCTGTTTCTGATTGTTTGATTTGAGATGGTGTTTCGATGAGTTAGACACTCCTTCCTTCCATGTATGATCGTGAGATGTTTTTTGTGAATGCTTTGAACTAATCACAGAACCTGTTGGAGAGGAGGATGTTTTCATCCCATTATCTGTAGCACCTGCATTGGATGCAGATGAGGCCCCCTCATATCTAGGTTGTTTTAAAGACGGAGGATGAGGAGGTCGATTAGCCCCTAAACCAGGAGGAGGATTACAACCTACAGCAGGAGCTGAAATATGATCCTTGAGAGAGGAACTAACTCCATCCACAAGTGATTCCATCGCGAAATTTGACACATGCACTGTCACACCACAATCCAATTGAACACGGTGATTTCTAAGCTAAAGCACTAGCCTACAAGATAAGCATCCAACACAAAGATCTTTTAAATATTGACAAGAAGATCATTCCAAGCAATATCAACAAATTACCAAAATGGACTAAAGACATGTGTCTCAATTTCCCCAATAGCAAATCTTATCAACTTCCCAGAATCTACAGCATAAACCCATTGTAGATACGTAAATATCCCCAATTACATGAGGACAACGAAAATAACGATCAAACTAACGTGAAAGACAAAATTTTCAAACATTACAAAAGCAATCACATCTATAAAGTTCACAGCAATCACATGAAACCCTAAAAAAAAAAATTCCATGTTACTTTTGCAATTGAAAACAGCATTCAGAGATTACATACGAAAAGAAAATGACCCAGAAAATAGAAAGAATCAAGGATCTACATAATTTCTCACTCAACGTTAAAAAATACATAGAAGGAGTGTGGGAGATTGAATTAACTCCCCTTTCAAGATTTCTTGGTATTTTCCTACATTTTGTTGGCTACCAAACAGACAGTAAAGAAACAAATAAATAGACTCTTTGTTCACCTGATTACAGAACGCAAATGAGGAAGCAATCTTTCTTGAGCGATGGAACAAGTGAAAGTGAGAGGCCCCCCAATCAGAGAACTCAGATAAAGTGAAGATAACTTTTATTTGGAGAGCTTTTCGGTGTAGTTTTCCGAGTCTTTTTCAGATCGGATTGAAACAAGAAAGAGTCTGGGAGATTGGAGGAAAAACTAAGTAAAAATTCCACTGCCGATTATTCTGCTAAAATTCGTCGTTTAATGGGGGGTTGAATAATTACTTTTATTGAGAAGGGAACAAAAGAAAGTGCCTCTCTCTTAACTTCACAAGCAAAGCAAAAGCACAAAGCGAAAGCATATAGAAAGCCGTCTTTCTCTCTCCTCTCACCTCTCACCTCTCTTCCTTCCTCACCTCTCTCTCTTGTTTTTGTGGCACATAGTAAAGGATCACACTTTCTTGTTTTTCCAAAAAAAAGTGTTAATTGCGCTGAGTCCAAAGTATGAGATTTATTTTATTTTTATTTTTAATATTTTAATTATATTATTTTAGTCTTTAAAATATTAAATAAATTTTTATATGATTCATTAAACGGATAATATCAAAATTATTAACAATTTTTTATCATAAATTTTTTACGCGATATATAAATATAGGCAAAAAATAATTTTGATAACTCTTAACTAAAATTTAGATAATTCTTGACAAAAAATGTGTAATATGGATAGTTCTTGATAAAAATTTGAATGACGCATGATCAAAATTATATAATTTGGGTAGTTTTTTGACCAAAATTTAGGTAAAAATTTAATCAAGAGTCATCCAAATTATTTTTTTGTTTATATTTAACTATTATGTGTCAAATATATAATAAAAAATTGGTAATAATTTGGGTGTTGCCTTTGATGAACCACATAAAAATACATTTAATATTTTAAAAATTAAAATAATATAATTAAAATATTAGTCTTGTACTTTAAGGATTTTCGGTACAATTAAATTAACTCTTCCAAAAAAGAAACAAAATTAACTATATGGGTTAGTGGAGTGCTAGCTAGCTTGACCAGAGTAGGTCAAGAATCCACTCTTTTGAGATCATCATCTATATATTTACTTCTTATATGGAGAGATAATTTTACACAAAATTCGATATTAATTTGATAAATGAGAGGGATAACGTACCAGTGACCCACTAAAAGATACTACAATATATTCCTAGATGGACAGCGTCGTATAAGTGCCGGAAGTTCATCAACCAAACTGAGGTCGCGTCGCTTCAAGCTTTTTGTTTGGTACTCAACGATCTCAATCCTTGGCGTACTTTTCGCGTAACTACCGATAGTGATGACTTACTTCACAGCTTTTTGGAATTCTATAGCTCTTTCGAACAGCTTCGAAAGTTTGGTGATTCCAACCAGGGTTACCGAAAAAAAAAAAATCGTTTTGAGTGCCCTGCAAATAATAATATTTGTTTGCCGAGGGAGATGGAGAGATTTCATTCGGGGCACTCTTAATTTTGATATTTGGAGCGCCCACTCTTAAAGTTTTTATCCTCTGGTACAAACTCACTTGGGAAAGTCAAGAACATCCAATATCCAATTGACACGCCCGGAGAATAAAGGGCATGTTTTGTTTTAGGATATATATTCTGGCCTGGCCCCATTTAGAACAATGCTAGGGATCCAAAATTGTATTCTAAATCAGGAAGGATTCTTGGATCGATGGGTCGTAATTGAATTGAGTTGATGAATATTTATCGTTGTTCTAAATAAGATGTAAGCAAATAATAATGGACAAGGTTATCTCTATATCCCGCTTTTCTAGTCTCTCTATTTTTTATCTTGTGTCCAATATATTACTTTTTTTAAAGAGTAGGTGTATATATGGAGCAATGTTAGAGATCCCAAATGAGTAAATATATTTGAATAAGTAATTTTTTTTATTTTTTTCCAAACAAGATTCATTCATTCAAATAATCACTTAATGTTTATGGGTGGTACTTCTTTTTAATACAGTATGTTTAAAATTGTGTCAAATCGTCGACTATTTCTTTGAATTCAACGACAGTCATAAATAATATTTTGTTACTAGAACAATTGTCCTAAATATTTTCTTTGTAGAGGTGATAAGCTATAGTATGAAAAATCAATGTTCTTAATGGCCTTTTAAACTCATTTAACACAATAATAATATTTAAATTGGAATTAAATGACTAAAATTTTAGAATTCAAATACTTTAAATTTGTTATACAATTAATCTACTAATTAAGACTTGTTAAAGGGACAATTTTGCTTCAAAATGTGTTTCTTGAGAGCCCTTTGGTTTGTTCTTCAATACCCTAGTTGTCACGGTTTTACAAGCATCTAATGAGCATACAAATAATCCTTTTCAAGTAATATCTCAAGTTTCCATTGGTTTTTCCTCCGGTTATATTTATTTTTCAATTATATTTAATTATATATAAATCACTTGTTAAAATAGTATTGGTTATGTATTTTCCTTCCCCCCCCCCTCTTGTTTGGATTAGCTCCTTTCCTCCTAGCCTAATTCAATGTATATGTAAGTGTCTATATATACATTGATTCACATATTATTGCGTATACTATAGATCACTTATTTTATTCTTTTTTGATGATATAATTAATTTTAAAGACATAGTTAAATGTGTTGTTTAACAATAATTTTTTTTTTTTTTTGGGCAATTGTCAAGGATGTTAGGCAAGTTTATACGTACATAAACTAATTCTCTTTTTGATCTAATCAAAGACAAATCGTTTATACTGAGACAAAGATATTTATGATTTAACCCTAAACAATTGTCAAGATTCTTAATCTTAGTAGTTTTTCTCTCTTCTTCTCCTGCATGGCCTAGCTACCTTACCCATGTGAGAAAGTAATTTTGTATTCTGAAGATATTTAATGGTCATTTTCAATAATAATTGTAGTAATAAAAGTAATCACATGGGATTAAGTAACCACAATCAATGTCATTAACTAGCATTTGCGAGAGCCGAGAGGTCTCACCCTCACATGCGTGCACGTGAACCAGCTCCGTGGCATGTGGACCGGCTGTCATCTTCGACGCATTATATTAAACATCATTATTAGCCTACGGCTACTTAGAGCTATAGTCTGTCTATAAACAAAATAAAGAATTAGGTGATCAAAATGCTATTTTGATAAAATTTATGCTCCCGTAGGGAAGATGAAAAGTATAAAATATATATATATATATATATATTTTTTTTGTGTTTGGTTGGATGAATGAAAAATAAAAGTGACTATTTTTTTTTGTTGACTAAAATTAGGGGTGACAATCGATTCGTATCGTATCAAATTTGTGTTGAGTTATTACAGAGTTTGTATCTAATATTATGCTCCGTTTGGTACGATAAAAAAGTGGGAAGATGAAAAGTTAGAAGGATAAATAATTGTCAAATCTAACTTAACTCATTTAACTAATTGTGTCGTGTCGAATTGCAAGTTGACATGTTTATTTTTTTATCGAGTTCGAGTCGTGTCATCGTGTTGAGTCGAAAATTTTCATCTTAGTTAAAATGGAAAAAATATTTGTTTTTAATTTAAAATTTAAAATTTTATTATTTTTATTTTTTAAAAATGTATTTTAAAATTTTTTAAATATATATATATATATATAGACAAATAAGATACATTTCAATATAAATAATTAATTTTTTATCTATTTTTGTTCCGATTTTGGTGAGTTGGAAGGAAAGTTAATTCATTCACTTTTTTATCCTTCCTACTTTCGTTTTTTATCAAACATGATATTTTATTTATTCATTCAATTTTCTATCCTTCTAACTTTTTATCCTCTTATTTTTTTATTGTACCAAACGGAGCATTAGTGGAGGACGGAAACAAAATCAACCCTAATGTTCCGTTTGGTACGATAAAAAAGTGGGAAGATAGAAAGTTGGAAGGATAAATAAAATATTATGTTTGGTAAAGAATGAAAGTAGAAAGGATGAAAAAGTTAATGGATAATTTTGAGTGAAGTTATGTATATAATTTTGATCTCTCCACTCTAACAGAGAAATAACATTAATTGTGAATAATATTTATTTAAAAAAGTGAATTAAATGAACGTGAAAGTTTGATTTTTCAAGTATAACGAGAAAATATGAAATTAAAAAATGAAAAAAAACCCAAAATAAATGTCTAAAAAAGCTCCAATCTTGGCAGGTTTTTTTTTTTTTGGCACGTCTAATAATTATGGTTAGCCTATCAACTAAATTGCAATCATTTTCAGTGTGCAATTAACCCCATCATTATTGCTGTAAGCTCTGATACTATGAAGTATGAACCATCAGGGATTCACTTCCCCATTATTATTATTTTTTTTGGGATTTTGGGCAACCAGGTGCAGCAACAAATGAGAATTTAGATTGGATATGAGACCAGATGCTCAGTTTTCTCTCGTATAGTGGCTATGCTCCTAATTACGATCAGTGTGTCCAAATGCAGCTTGAATAAAAAAAGGTTTCTTTATGCTACTTCATAAACAAATAGCTTCACAATTACAAGACATTAGTACTGTTATAAGAGTGGAACTTATTTTGAAAGAAAGTATCAAGATTGTTCTAATAAATTTTCCAAATACAAATTCAAAATGTATCTTCCTGTGGACAAAACATCAAGTCTCTGCTCACTGGCTTCATACTTCCCCTTCCGGAGTTGGTAACGATGAGTTACAGCTGATATGGTATAAGTTTGGCCTTCAATTGTCACGCTCTCCCCACATTGCATGTTCTGCCACAGGAAAAGAACTTAAATGAGACCAACCATGGTGCAACACACATACGGTAGTTCAAATATTATGTTTAGCTCTTGATAATTTCCAAAACTGCGTAGGGTCAAGGCCTGCCAATCCAGTGAATGAATGGAGTTGCGTTGAAATCATGAGAGACGAGGCACTGCTGTTTTGTGCGGCATGCATGTGAGTGAAATAACAGGAAAGTTTCCATTCCTCATTCCCTGCTTTCACAATTCATTAAGAAAATGGCATCTGAATATCACACTTCTATTCAAATAAAGATATTGCTCAGAATTTAATACTGGTATCTATAACTTAAAGGGCGGCAAAGCCACAGAAAATCTAGAATCCTCTCTCTTATGTTGCACAATCAACAGCAGTTGCTCGTGACTTCTGCGTGGGTGTGCGCATGTTATAGATAAGCAACTTACACCAAAAACACCTGGAACAACAACACAAGCACACATGACATATACAGTGAAACATGCCATAAAACCTAATTTAAAAAATGCTCCACCAATCGAGTAATGAAAATGGTAATAACATGCCACCAATCGAGTAATCGAAAAAGACTCCATAGAATGAGAATGGTAATAAGAAAAGGAACTAAAAAACATGAGTTAACTTCGACACTGATAAGTCATCTAAAGGATCTTCAAATTCTCTCCATCCACACGTGCCAGAAGACAATAACATATCTGCACTGCAATCATCCCCCTTGTGCTTATGTATCAAGCTACCATCCCATGACTGCAACAATTCAGCAGGCATCCTCTGCCACTCCAAGACCAAGCTGAATAGGGAAAAATAGAGTCTATAACTACTATGCCTCCTTAATAGTAGGTGATCAATCGTCTCCTTAGCTCTCTTGCTCAGAAAAATCACCCCTGGACAATAGAATTACCTGTACTCAAGATCCCTATGAGGAGCTGCCATACAAGGAGGGTTACCTTTGGGAGATCTTTTACGCTTCACATATTTTTTCAATTTTCATAGACACAACAAATGAGCACCTCCTACTATTTCTATCTCTAGTACGTTATTCAACTCTTTCTTGTAGTTAGATGTTCTCAGAAGGACCTAACAAAATACGTCTTCACTCTTGCCTAAGCCATACTTTATGGCAAATAGAGAATCTAATGCCTTCAGGTCTAAGTCCTGGATTGCCATCCTATAGAGGAAATTCCATAATACTTTTTCTTTCAGTGAGACAAGCGTCATCCGCCAAAAAGCCCTCCTTATTACATATTACCCTCAACAAATCAGGGATAAGTGCAGACATCCCCACACCGAGTATCAAGCAAAAAATTCACCCTTTCTCTCTTCATGTAACAGACTCAATATCCTTCAAAGACTCCTACTATCCATTTGGATACCAAACTAAAAGTTCAAGAGTAGAAGAGATCCCAACCAAGCCAGAAGACCAGTCTCCCCATTCAACTTCATATTTTTGCTCCACTAAATTCCATCCAAAACCGTATTTCTCCTCATTGCTAACTTCTGCGCACCTTCCCCGGCAAAGCTTGGTTAAACATCCAACTCTTCTTCCTTCGCCATCAAAAGAATAACATTCCAATTAAATACTTATTAACTGAACTTCCACTCTTGCTTCTCACAAAAAAGTCATCAAGGTATTCGGATGCAAAATATTGCTATCAAGCCCTTTAATAAGCATTTTTCTTAATATCAGCAGATTAACAATTCCACTATTCAAATCAGAAATGAACGAAAACCCATGTAGAGACAAGAAAAAAAAAAAGGAAACAAAGTTTGGAGCTCCTTAGAGTTTCCAAAGGCTCAGAAGCTAACTTTGAGATACAAAATCCCAAGTCTCCCTAGATTTTTTTGGGAAAGCCTCCAACTTAATATAACACAGTCCAGATCTGTGATACATAGACTTGCTTATTCCAACTCAAACAAAGGGTTATAAACTAGTGTCCACTCATGTGAATAGGGATGTGTGAGGCATTAACTATGCTAGAGCCTCTGGAGGTGGCGCGAGTGAAGTGAAATTATAAGTAGCACAAAGCATCCAGCCCTTTCCTTCATTGTGATAATCAGAATGAAATTATCGAGCATATCTAGAAAGAAATCCACAAAGTATGTTTTTGTTGATGCTGCAGATTTAAACCATGGTACCATAGATAAATAAGCCCAGGTTAAGACTACTAATGGAAGGATGCTTTTGAATGTGAATTTTATCAACAATGCTACATCTTGGCCTTTACCAAATTTTGAATCACAAATCAAGTGAATTATAGGATCAATAGGTCTCACAATCTGTCACTAACTATGCAATGACTAGCAATGTGTCACATCATTTGGGATCCAATATTTGCCAAAAGTTTTCGTAAACACAACATTTCTCAAATTCTATTCAATTCTATACATCATCCTTTGGAAAAAGTTGAAACTGATAGTAAACGAGTAACCAAGCTGATTGTTTTCAGGGTAGAGGATGTATTCTCAGAAGTGGGAGAAGGGT